TGAGCGACCCAAAGTTTGGATACTCATCTCCCAAATTATCCACGATATTGCCTTGTGAATTGCCTCTAGTTGGTGTGTTCAGCAAGTTTCATTACATGCTGTTTATTTTTCATCCTTAACTGTATAATCTTCAGCTTGTCCATTAAACATCTCTGCTCAGAAGAATTCATACTTTTGAACACTGTGGCTTCAGGGTTGTTGAGCCGGCTATGGTTTGTGTATTAAAAATTCTGTCTTGTTTGTTGTCTGTTTGACATGTCTGTCAGGGAGAAGGGCTTCTAATTAGGCCTTGCTGCTGAGTGAGCTTTATTCAATTGGGAGAAGGAGGAGGAGGGGAGTGCTTCCATCCTTTTGGACTTGATTCTAGCACCTGAAGAGTTGTGTAAGTGGAGAGAGACTTCTTACATGCTGTCTTGGAAGGCTTTGTTCTTGGTTTATAGCAGACTTTATGTAGCACTAATAAATTCACAGTGTTAATGCCAGCCTGCCACAAACACTAACATCTGGTGCTCTTTGCAGCAAGCAGTAAGTCCTGCCTCATGCTGAAATGGAAAGGCTGTGATAGTTCTATAATACTGCTGAGTTTTCCAGGGAAATCATTGTTCTAGTCTCTCTCAGTATGGCAGAGCAACACTGAGAAAGTAACTGCTGTCTGTAGCTGAAGGAATAACAGCATTGCGTAGAACTCAGTAAAACATTCTTTGGCACAAGGAATCTGCCTCCCCAGTAAATGTAGAGCGGGTGATTGTACGGCATCAGTGCTGGCACCGTTGTTCTGAGTTGGTACAGGTTGCTTTTGGGGGAAGATTTCAAACGATTTGGATGTCACCTGAGAACCTGGTGAGTCCTAGGTGTGGCACTCGGCAAAGCTGTAGGGAAGCATAGTGGCTCCTGATCAGGGATTTACAAGTCAAGTCGCTCCTACATTCTGATCTTGAACAGTTCCTTAAAGCTCAGACTAATATTAAGGAAAGCGTGGTGATGGAGTGTAAAAAGATAAGCTTGTAATGAGGAGCAATAGGGAAAGGGCAGCTTGGAATCTGTTCCATCAGCTCTTCCACTTGAGCTGAAGGTAGTTGTTCAGTGAGCGCAAGGTTTTGCTAGAGGAGACTCCATACCTTTCTGTCTTGTCTTTTCAGGATTCAGTACAGGTGTGTATTGCGGACCCTCATGTCCTTGTATGGCACGTTGTTGACATCACTTTATCTGGTATCCAAGACCCAACAGATGCCTTATATCAAGGGGTTTACCTTCCCTTCTGATATCAGTACCTTCCTTGGAGTTAACGTTTCTTCTGAGGTGAAAAAGCAAAAGGCTAGAATGCTTACAACAAAAAAACCTACCAGCTGGCTGAAGAAGTTCTTCCCAACAATGCCAGAGGCAGCGTCAGAGGCTGGGAAAAAGAGAAATCTTGCGACCTGCTTGAGTGCTGTGAAAAACTGTAGCATCCCATGCCCCATGGACATTGGAGAGCCAGTTCTGGTGACCAGAGCCAGCAGAGGTAAAGCCTTGTGCCACGATGCTACTGGTTTCTGACATCTGAGACTGCAACTTCTGTCCAACAGAGCCAAGCACTTCTACTGTCCACAGAGTGCAGTTCTAGTACAGACTCTCCTGTCTTTGGAAGAGGAGGAGAATGCTGCATGTACCCTTGCCTTCATAAAGCTGTGGATATTGTCAGGATTGTGAGGGTTTTTTGTTTGCTTGTTTTAACCATGATACAGCCTGGAGAGAAGCTGGTAATGAATGCGGTTTATAGGTCCTGTAAATAGTTACTCATATTTTGCTGCTTCTGCATAGATGGGGCCCAAGGATAGTGACGGAAGCTAAGAGCACTGTTTGCAGTCCATACAAGAGTAGATAAGGCTGTAAGTACAGGGTGCAGGTATCCTGTGCTTGCTGCTTCCGGGCTGTGCCCAACTCCTCCCCTGCAGTCAGGGCGATGGCCAGTGACTGCAGGCATCCAGGTGTTGTCGTGAAGCTTTTACCCATTAAGTTTTCTCTGCATCCTCTTCATCCCTTGCCAGCTGCCATGTGAGATGAGTGTAGTCCCCTTGAGTTTGCCTGGAAATGTTGAGTGCAGGTGTGAGCCTGCTGAGACGGCAGGAGATCTGAGAGTTCAGCAGGGCAAAGCATTGTGGTGTCTCTGTGCAAAGACTTAAAACTGTCTTTACGGGAACTCCCCTCTCTTTGTAGGGAAGCGCCGGGGGTTTGATGTGAAGAGCTTACTTAGGCCATCCAGACTTCCAACACAAGAGGTTCGTATGCTACTGTTTTACACATTTTTTTTTTAACTTTAAAGACCCTAATACTCACAACATGATATTCCTAATTGAAAATGTCCCCTTTCCTGGCCTTATTTTTGCTTGTCTAACAATCCAAGTTAGTGTGGAAGCTTTGCACTGAAAATCACTACTAATTTCGGCTTAGGAATTTGAGCATTTGTTGGTATGTCAAGTGAAATGACCAGAGAGCAAGTCAGTCGTAGACAGGAATACAAATTCTAATTATCTGCCTCCTCTTTTTGTATTCCACAAAACAAGACTGGTCTACCACTTTCTCCTTAGGAAATAAAGAATTTTCTCTCAAAACCCTCAGTGCTCTGCTCCTCTCCAGCAGAGAGGATCGGGCATGTCATGTTTTTAAGACTAATTCTGTTATTCATTGTTTCAGGGTATAAGCATTGCATCGACACCTTTTAAAGCAAAGTCGCCATCACTCTTCTCTCGTATAGCAAAATCGCAGCATACTGGATCTCTTGTACAGATGGTCCAAACAGCTATGTCATTTGGGGAACTGTCAGAAGCACTCAGAAAAGCTATTCTGTGGTGCAAAGGCAACAAATTCAAACCAGCAGCTTATTTTCTGCGTAACAAGTTGTTGAAAAGCAACCGGTTGCACCACGTGGAGGCTCAAGGATGCAGGTAACTTTGCATGGGTGTGGGGTTTCTGGATCTGACACTTTAGTATCATGTATTTTGCTACAGTGTAGACAAATGCAGTTGTCTAACCCATTCTTTTTGAACTCAAACAGGATCACTAGTTCAGGTTACTCGACGCTCTGACGTGAACATTCTGTTTAGCTTTAGTCATTTGTGAAAGGATTTAAAAGGCTAACAAATGCACAAATACTTAAGAGGGAGGGAGGATGAAAATGCAACTTAAATCACATGCATGTTTAATGGTAATGATTATATGATGCAAGGGATGTCATCTTTCTTCAGAATGCCTGGGCTACTATTGCATGAGGTGCTGTTCTGTCTCCTTGGTATGACAAGGAAATTGGTAGAGAAGGCTAATAACCAAATCTCTCCAAACCCCAAATGAACTAACACTTCAGCAGCTGATAAAGTTATGTTTTGTGCACCTTCCTCCCCTTAAGCTTGAAGAAAAAACTGTGCTGTGTCAAAACATCTGTCTGTAAATACCTCCTGTACGGGTTGCAAAACGCACGCTGGCCAAAGCAGTACCTCGGGGCGCGGTTCTGTCGAAGGAGGATCAGATCATCCACGCGCTTGAAGAGAACTCTGAAGACTGTTCGGCAAAAACCTTCTGAGCTTTCTGGGGCCTGTGAGGACAGCGCTTCGCTCATCCTCCCAGCTTACCAGCATGGGCCTCTGAGTTGGGAAGGATGTTCCAGTGCTGATGCAGGCTGTGTCCAGCTAAGCACAGCAGGGACCCCTCAGCAGCTGCTGCTGGAAAGAAGCCCTGGCCCTGCGTGGAAAGAAGCTACTGAGAACATGGATATTGATTCTATTTTTGCAGCAATGGGTGTCTGACCCTGGACTTGCAAGGAGGAAAGGGGTCAAGTCATTCCAATGTTGGGGTTTTTTTTAAATCCTCAGAACCCTAATGGCATCTTGGGAACTCACACCTTGAATTCTGTTAAGAAAGTAGCAACTATTTTATTATGCTTTTGTAAACCAGCTTTTTTTTTTATGGAAGGGTGTTCCAAACAGTTGAATAGTCTTCATCCTTTTACCTAGCCTTGTCCAGGAACAGTGATTTTGAGTTACCCTTATTTGATGTCCCTTCTTTATTGCTTGCACACATGTGAAGTGCTGCTGTCAAACCCACAGTGCAAATAGTTACCACCCATGGCAGAAGGCTGCAGCTGATCACTTACTTACTGCTGCTGAGGACAAAAGACTTGCCACCACTTTTCCAAGGAAGCAGTCTTACACCCTTCCTTCTGTGCTGCTTGTAACAGCCTTGACTTGCAGTGTTACCACTGTTCAGCATTTGTTGTCCTTGGCCTGAAACGAGGACTTAACTGAACCTGCTGCCTCTGAGCTGCTCCACAAATAGGGGAAAGCACAGCTGTGGCCTGCAGCAGTAAACTCCTGACTGGTGAACATATTTCTCACTGGCCTGAGATCTTTTTAATGGAAGTGCATTTTCTGCCTGCTTGGCAATGCAAGGCCCAGCTACTCCAACATGTATTAATGAAATAATGTTAGAACAAGCCAATGGGGTTAGTGCTTTCTGCCAGGTTCTTGCTTGTACCCAAGTCCCAAGATCAGGATCACCAGGAAATACTAAGAAAAAACTGTCTCAAAATGAAAAACAGGAATTGCTTTAATGTACCACACCTGCATAGCAGGAGTAAGGAAAGGCTGTAAGTACAAGTAAATCTGGAATAGGTTAACTTCAATTTCCTAGGCTTACTAGTGGTAAAAACCAAAAGAGCTGTGCTTGTTGGGACCAAAGAAAAAATAACCTTCCTAGCCCATTAAGTGCTAAAAGCCCTGTATTATGACTCTTGCGTGAATTGATCAATGTTAGTTGTGAGGAGTGGGCACAAGCTTAAAATGTTTTATTCAAAAAGCATATACAGCGCAAAGAGCAGAACTTCTATAGCAGTTTGGCATTGAAGCCTTTCTTCTGTTAACCAAGATCCATTTTCTAGGTTTCCTGTCACAGGAATACCCAGTGATAACTGAAATAGTTGTAGGGAATTATTAGCCCTCTAAATATCTGATTCAACATAGTCCTCCTTCAAACAGACTTCCTGCCATTACAAGAATCTTTAGAACTCTTCTCTTACTTCATTAAAATGGTATAAAAGTACCTAAGTATACCACATACAATCAGATAACATTCAGCTGCTTGAATACTTTTCAGAAAAGGCTGGGAGCGAGGGCAGACATCCCAGCAGTGATCTCCATCCCGAATAACCCCTCCAAACACCGCACATGATATCCCTTCTTTTTTGGGCAGCAAGTGCCCAAGTAATGCATGCCCAGTGCAGCCCATGCACAGGATCAAGATCCATAGTTTGCTTCATCAAAGGCCTTTCTGGCTCGTTTCAGTTCTTCGTTCATAGTTAGGAGGTCTTTAACTCTGGCAAACTTCCGGGGGTCTTTGCGGATTAGAAAGACAATGTCCTCAACTTGTACGCGACCCTGCCGCCCAATTGACATGGCCTTGTGTGTCTGTTGGAGGAAAAGAGGAAAGTTGGGGAGGGTTCCTTTGCCCCTTGATTTTTTGTAAGCTCTCAATTCCACTTTATTTCCTATCATTTTAGAATCAAAAAGTAAGAAATTGCAGGATCTGGGCACCACCACCCTAGTCACATGAGAACTTCCCAGTAAACCATGGACTCACTGTCACTCTGTTGTCCCCAGCTGCCTGTCACACATAGCACTACATACACATAACAGTAATGGCATCAGAACTAAAGCCAGGTACACGTAGGACACCCAGCCTGCAAAGCAGTTGAACAGCATCAGGCAGAACTCGGAAGCAATGTGAAGTACCCGTATCGCAGGACAGTTTAGGGCATTTCAGTGAGGGAAGGCAAGGCCAGCCTTTCAAAAGAAAGGGGATCCACAAACAGTAGGAATAACTTTTCTCAAAAAACAAACAAACAACTTTCAAACAGTATCCAAATGTCTGGAAGAGTGAAGGCTTCAGGCCCCCCAAAGCTTGCATTTCTTTTGTAGCACAGAACTACCTTCCTATCCATGAAAATACACTGAGAGTACACAAAATGTCAAGAAACTTGAAAAGCTGAGCCTGGTCTTCTGTCAGCTGCACGTATAGTGATGCCACAGCAAACCCCAAAGTCAGCTGTGTATTTCCCCCCTACCAATACTAATCTAGCTGCTACTTCAGAACTTCAGACGTTCTTCTAAGTCTACATGGAGCAAGATGCATGAATTTTGCCTTAATCATGGAAGATCAAAGTCTAAGTTTAGCTTTTTCCTACTAGCATCAGAGTTTTGGGCCTGGAATAATGCAGTATTTGAGTCAGAGGCATTAACCTTCAGAAGACTTACAAAGTCTTAGCGAGGATGTTTTGACCATGCTGTCTAGAGTCAACTTACCATTTCTGTGATAAACTCTATTACCAGGTCCTCAAGAATGTCCACTGATTCTGTGTAAGGGTTCTGGTCATCCCCGAATCCATACATCATGCATCTTACTGCAGAAAGAAACACTCAGCGTGAGGGTCCTTTCATCCATTCAGTGCTGCCAGCAGCGTGCACCTAGTTAGAGCTCACCGGCCTATGCATTCACGTGTCATGCACCAGGACAGTGTGGTTGTCTGTGGGGCAGGACAATTCTTGAGCAAACATACAGGAAACAAAGATACAGCAAACATAGACAGAGGCCAACAAAAGCCTAGTGCTGTATATACAGAAAAACCTGTCTGATGACAGATGAAATATGCGTTTAGCCTACCAAACGCTGACTGACATCGTGACTGACTTTTGGCAGTTAGGTTCAGAGGATGCATTAGCAGTATTTTTTTGGAGTCTGCACAACAGCTTTCTGCACTTTCAGCCAGGGCACAGAACAAAAGCCGTTGGTGTTGAGTTTTGGAACTCCACAGCTGCCTCCTCAGAGTTTCATCGTCCTTAAAAGCCGCAGGGAGCCCTGTGGCAAGTGACCTGCCAGCGCTGGGCAGGGGTTTCTGGCCCGGCTCGACTCACGTTCTTTGGAGAACAGCCTCTTCCTCTTGCCTTGCCCGCCGTCCAGGCCCCCGCCGGCTTCTTCCGCATCTTCTTCAAACTAGACGAGCACAGCGGAGGAGAGGCCGCCATCAGCGCCCGGGGCGGCGGGGG